CCCATCTCCTCTCCTGATCTGTCCATTGCTCCCCCACCACCTCTGTAAACAAACATAGCAACAAACAAAAAAACAAAAAGGGAAAAGAAAAGAAGTTGGACCTACTAGTGAAGCCCACCAACCACATTTCTTTTTTAAGTAAGCGTTTTACGACACTTGCAACATAACAAGGTCATGCAACTCCCGAAGGTTAGAGATGTTACAAGAGAGTAATACACATAAAAAGGAGGAGAGATAAGGACGATATAATATATTTGACAGGAAAGAAGGAGCTGACTACACCAGAGCAGCCGCCATCACATATTATCCGAACCACTTAGCTTTCGAATTTGACAAAATTAATGGTGGTTCAGAATCATTTAAAGGATGCACAGTTTTACTGAGGAGCCAGAAGTCACTGTAGTTTAATTTTCAGTTTTTCATTAGTTTCGTATAGATCTTATCTCGGGAAAATCCGTCTCCTAAGACGCCATTGTAAGCGAGTGCCCGCATATAATAATATATATCTACTCACCGGGTTGACAAAAAGGGGTTGTGTGTAAGGCTTTCCTGAGCCCAGCGCCGACGAGGATGGGGAGGCGACAGAGGTCGGGGAGGCGATACGTATGGAGCTGGCGCGTATTGGACTGCCGGGGGCTGACCGCTGGGGGCTCTGGCTGCCGTCACTGTCGCTCCCCGAGCTGCCGGGCGGGGTCAGGGGGAACATGATGGACTCCAGGTTCACTGCCGATGGGAGGTGGGGGGGGGGTGGAGGTGAGTGTTTGTTTTAGTAAGCATTTTACGGCACTTGCAACACAATTAGGTCAGTTTTTTAAAGTTTTAGTAGAGGTTTTACGGCGCTCGCAACTGCATAAGGTCATATGGGCGCCAGAAGATTAGAGGTGTTACAAGAGAGTAACAAACATAAAAAAAGAAGAAGGGGAGATAAGGACGATAGATGTTTCATAGGAAAGAAGAAGCAAACCACACCAGAGCACCCGCCAACTACCCACAATTAGGTCATATAAGTGCCGAAGATTATAGGTATTACAAGAGAGTAACAAACACAAAAAGGAAGTTTGTTTGCTTGAGTAAAGGGTAGCACATCGACACAACAATGGTCATTTAGTGTTGCGAAAAAGTAAGACACACAGACAGAAACAACAGAGGGGAACGTTTAGTTTTATTAAGTTTTATGGCACTTCCAACACTATAAAGTTATATAAGTGCCAAGTTTAGAGGTGTTACAAAAGAGTAACAAACACCAAAAAGAAGGAGAGATAAGGACAATAGATGTTTGATAGGAAAGAAGAAGCAAACCACACCAGAGTACCCGCCAACCACCACCTCCACCACCACCAACAACAAAAATAACAACAACGACGATGACGACGACGACAACGACAACAACAACAACAACAACAACAACAACGACAACGACAACGACAACGACAACAACAACAACAACAACAACAACAACAACAACACTCACCAGTTTGTTCATGCGTTTGATCGAGGCAGTCGGCCGGCTCCTGCTTGATCTGAACGGTAGGGAAGGAGATGGTCTCGCCTTGGAACAGCGCCGTCGTCGCTTGCGATGTTGCTGCTGCTGCTGTTGCCGTTGTGGTGGTCACGATGATGGTCGGCTGGCGGGGGGAGATGATCGGGGTGGTGGTGATCGAGGCGGTAGAGCTCACGGGCGTGGCGAGGAAGGCCTCTGGGTTCGTCACCTCACACTTCAAGTCCGGGGAGGTGGCCACCGATTTCATGGTCAGGTCCAGTGCCGAGGTGTTGGTGAATAAGTCCGAGTCCATATCTGAGGGATGGGGAAGAGTATGGTGATATTATTATGCAGCTTTAGTACGGGTTTATGATACTCGTGGCTCAGAACGAGATATACTTCTTCGTCGTGAAAGAAAAAAAAGACAGACAGACAGACAGACAGACAGACAGACAGACAGACAGACAGACAGACAGA